GGGCACTGGGTCACCCGGCTGCTCTGCCGCAGCGGCCGAGACCCGCAGCCCGTCCCTGGCCGCCGCCTCCCTCGCCCGGCTTCTCCAAGGCCGCACCAAAGCCGGGATTCTTTGGAGCACTGGGCACGGAGTCGGGTTCTCCGAGTTCTACAGTGGAGGACACCTGAGAGACTGGACGCTCTTCACGGAATCCATCAGTGCCTCACTCACTTAGGATACGGGTTCTTCCTACCCACCCGCTGGCGCATAAAAAATTTAAGTTATGCTACATGCTAAAATTAAAACACACACGCACGTGCCCTACAGATTATAAAACATTTTCAAGTGACAGCAATTCAAAAAGTATGGCATCAGCCCAGCACACTGTCCAAACCTAGGACCACACCTCCAGTCTACTTCCATTGCAGGATCTGTTCGTCCCTGAGGTAGGGCAGAGACTAACCTGGCCATACAGCAGCGTGGGAGAATGCATCGCAAGGCTGCTTGGAGCAAACGGAGCTTTCACAAGCTTACGCGAGCTTTCTGTAACTTTAGAGTGTCTGCACATGCCACACTGCTCGCCCAAATGAACTGTTCCCATACCAAGCAAGACAACCCACATTTTAGCAGAAAGAAGAAAATCCAGCCGCCCCTGTGGAAATTGTGGGTGCTTCACTTCCCATTGGGCTCACGCCCAGGAGCACTAGAAAAGTTTCTAGAGGAATCCAAATGGTACTGGCACTCTATGATAGTCATAGAGGCCCGCCCCACCCAGTGTTCCACAAAAATCAGCATTATAGAAATCCTCACCTACGTTTTCCACTATGTCCCAATTAAGGGGACAGGCAGCAACAGGGGTGAAGACTGTAACCAACTCTGAGGCATTCTGTAAAAGAAAAGGGTAAGGAGCTACAAAGGAGGTAGGTGGCTAACCTCTGACCTTTAAGTGTGGTGTCTGGCACAAGGTCCCCAAGTGCCTTTGAGCATCGTTTCTTTAAGCTCTCATAACATAATTGACACGGAAACAAAACTATTTTTAAAAGTCTGGAAACATCCCCAGAGGAAGAGTGTGTGTGTGTGTGTGTGTGTGTGTGTGTGTGTGTGTGTGTGTGTGTGTGTGAAATTAGTAAGGGAAATGGTGATGGGACAGTTATTTAATCATGGGAGGGAAACAAGTTCTTGATTTCACAGAAAATACATTTTAGGGGAATTATATGCATGTGCATGGATGTATAGACATGTGTATGTGTCTGTGTGTACATTTTTATGACTATAAAAATATTTAAGTATTATTACATTATGTACGTTATTTTTTAAAGCTTGATCTCAGTGGCAGTAGCCATAAAAGAGATTAAATGAACTTAGCTAAAATAAACATATTTAATGTTAGAACAACACAAAACATGATAAACAAATTAAAAGGCAAATATCAAACTTTTTTAAAGTGTATGCCTATATTCCTATAGCCACGTTCACAGTCATATGATGCACAATATCCAAAAATTGGGAGTAACCAAGTATCCATATACAGATAAATATATAAACAAAACGTGGTATAACTCACAGTGGAATATTATTCAGCCTTAAAAAGAAAGGAAATTCTGACACATGTTATTGCACAAACAAAAAAACTTTGAGTACAAGTAAGTCAGACAAAAGGACAATGTTTTATGCTTCCACTTATATGAGGTAACTAGAGTAGTCTGATGCAAAGAAAAGAAAGTAAGGGGCCCTCCCTGGTGACAAAGGGGTGAGAGTTTCAGCACTATGAAGCTACCACTAGCCACTGCAGTACAAGTTCTATCCCCCACCAGGGAGGTGACCCACATGGTACAGCAGACTTCTCCTGACTCAGCCGCTGCTCCCCTCAGCAGTATATTCCAGTCAGTCTGACCATTCTGTTCCCTACTCTGTCTCTGTTCCTCTCACCTCCCATGTCTCTGGTCTGTACCCCAGTGCTTGTATGCATAAATAAATAAATAAATATTTTTTAAAAAGAAAAGAAAAGGGGATGGTTATTTCCAGAACCTGAGTGTAGTAACCAGGTCTACTTTTTAATGGACATATAGTTTTGCAAGATGAAAAGAATTCTGAATTCTGAAAGGTGATGATGGCTGCACAACAGTGTGAATATCTTTAAATGGCACCAAAATATACGTGAAAAGAGTTAAGCAAATAGTAGACTGTGTTTTACTATAATAAAAAAATAATATCTTGAGTATTTTAATATGAAACAATAAGTAATGATGAAAACTCCAGTAGAGAAATGGGTGAAGGATATGAACAAATAATTCACAAAGTAAACATAAATGGACACTAGACACATTTTTAAAAATTCTATCCTACTAGAAATTAAGTACTTGAAAATGTAAATATGATCCCATGTTTTTACTTTCATTTGAAAGAATTGTTGTTTTTACTTATCCCCCCAGGGTTTGTACAGAGAAGAATAATAGGCACTCCTAATCATGACTCAGTTGGAGTATAATTGAGCCTGGTGATTTAGAGTCTGATAAAATATGCAAGTCTTTTGACTGAATAATTCTCTTTTGTGTGTGTGTGTAGAAGAACCAAAAGATGGACCAGAGGTACAGAGGGTGAGAGGATTCATCAGTGACAGAGCAGGTAGCAGAGCAGAACAGGCAGATCTGTTGAAATACACTGCTGAGGGGAGCAGCGGGTGGGACAGGAGAGGTCTGCTGTGCCATGTGGGTCAGCTCCCTGGCTGGGGATCTAACTCAAGTCATAGTGGTGATAGCACTGAGACTTAATTCCTAGGCCACCAGGGAGGCCTCAGTAACTTCCCTTTTTGGAAGTCATCCTAAGGAGATAATTTTTTAATTATCTCCCACGTGAAAAAAACAGGTCTCTGTAGAAAAACATCCAACACAGCACTTTTTACAACAGAGAAAAATGGAAAACAACACAAAAGACCAGCAGACTAGCTGAAGAAGTATGCCTATATGATGAGATACTGTGCAGTTTCTGACTAAGGAAGATATTTATTGACATTTTTAAAATCAAGATATATTATGAAATTTTAAAATGTGACCAAATAGAACTAGTATATTAATTTATTTGTATAAAATCTGGAAAAAGGATCCTCCCTGGTGGCACAACAGGTTAGGACTGAGCACTGCAAGCTAGCTGCGGCTGCTTCAGGGTGAGTTTAATCCCCCACCCCGTAGGTGATCCACATGGCGTGGCAGACCTTTCTTATCTCACCCACTGCTTCCCTCAGCAGTGCATTTCTTCGATCTGCCTGTTCTGCTCCCCATTCTGCCTCTGGTGAAGCCTCTCACTGTCCCTGCACCTCTGGCCTATACCCTTGTTCTGTATGCATAAATAAATAAATCTTAAAAAAAAAAACTGGAAAAACTATAGGAATTATTAAATAAGCGAATTGTCTCTAGTGTAGACTACAGGGCTTCCCTGGTGGCATAGGGGTTAAAGTCGCAGTGCTATCAGGCTATCATTAGCCACTGCAGCAAGAGTTCTATCCCTTGCCAGGGAGCTGACCCACATGGTGCAGCAGACCTCTACTGACCCGCCCTCTGCTCCCCTCAGCAGTGTATTTCAGTCAGTCTGCCTGTTCTGCTCTCTGCTCTGTGTCTGGTGAATCCTCTCACCGCCCCTGCACCTCTGGCCTGTACCCCAGTTCTGTGGGTATTAATAAACAAACCTTAAAAAAAAAAAAAAGAACTCTAGAGAAAGTGGCACATTTATGGCAAAATGTGGAGCATGATGTTTGATAAGGATAATTAAAAAGTTAGGGGGAAATTTTTTTACATGAATAGGAAAAGAATGAGAAAATTAAGAGAAAGGGGAGCCACAGTTACAACAGATCATCAATGATTTGGAAAGTTAGCAAAACTAAGAAAGTGCCATGTGATCTTATCCAAGATAATGGAAAGTGGTCTGATGAAAGAATCCAGCAGAGGCAGTAGAATCTGTCAGGATCCCTTTATTATTTTTTTAATATTTGTTTATTTATGCATACAGAACTGGGGTACAGGCCAGAGGTGCAGGAGTGGTGAGAGGGTTCACCAGAGGCAGAGCAGGGAGCAGAACAGGCAGATCGAGGAAGTACACTGCTGAGGGGAGAAGTGGGCGGGTCAGGAAAGGTCTGCTGGCCACTTGGTCACCTCCACTTGGTCACCTCCCTGGTGGGGGATCAAACTGAGGCTGAAGCAGCTGCACTGAGCTTCCTGGTCCTGCTCCTTAAACCACTGCGCCACCAGGGAGGGCTCCTGTCAGGATCCCCTTTAATGATGCCTGCCCTGTCAGGTGAGCTGCTGATATCTCTGCCCTACACAAAAGAGAATGAGGGCAGGAATGAGGCAGAGGAGATGTGTCTGAAGCTGAATTATGGCCTAGTGCACGCATATGTGCACACACACATACACGCACCTCACTCCTATTGCCACACTACATTAGGAATGATCAGAGACTCTGGAAGTCAGAGCTGAGATTTTAGGGACTGTTTTGTCCAACGTGGGCATTTCACTATGGAGAAGAGTGCCACCTTGCCCCAATTTGAGCTTTCATTCATAAGGTGAGTTGGTAACAGAATTATCCAAGGTAAACTCTGGCTGGTACTGCAGTCCCAAAGGTCCAGCACACCATCTCTCTTACCACAGAATTCCAAGGGACCCAAATTGGGGCTCTTATGGGGCTCCAAGTTGAACTAAGGAGGCCAGGACAGTAAAGCCAGAAGAAAATAGGCTATCCCTATAACCCTGTCACCTGCCCCACCTGGGATCTTAGATGACTCCGTGGGCAGTATTCCATCAAGTAACTGAATGGGCATAGCCATCAAGTTAGGCCAGCTATCTCAGGCTTCTGGAATTTTCCCCCACCTTTCTCCACCCTATTTGTGCCCTGGGAAGTTGACTTATACAGGCAATATCAATCTCTTAACCTCAGGCTTCTGTCCAGGTTGACTAGAGACACCAGCAGGGGACTAGAAGGCAGAAGTGAAGATGGGGGAGTTTATTGCTCATCTCTTTCCCTGCCAGGATACTGTAGGTCAGCTATTTCCCTTTAAGGAAAAGCATAATTCCTGCAGGCAGCCCTCTCCCCAAGTGTATCCTTTCTGAGGTCCCATAATTGCTTTCATTGCTTGTCCTTCCAGGCCCGGAAATGGCAACAGCTCTATCCCTTGTCCTTGAACTTAGCCCACAGCTTTGTAAATAGTGCCTAGACTCGTTTCAAATGATCCATTTGAAATGTGCTATCTGGAACCCTCTCTGGGGGTACAACAGTTTAAAGCACAGCAGCAGCACTGTAAAGCTAGCCACAGCTGCTTCAGCATGAGTTCGATGGAAGCTGACCCACATGGTACCGCAGACCTCTCCTGTCTTGCCCACTGCTCCCCTCAACAGTGTATTTCAGTGTAGCCGCCTGTTCTGCTCCCCACTCTGGGAGCACTCACCACCCCTGCACCTCTGGCTGTATCCCAGTTCTGTATGCATAAATACATAAATCTTTTTTAGAAATGTGCCATCTGTTCCCTACCAGGACACTGATGGATGCAGAGCTGTCATGAACTGGAAGAAGCCTCAAGTCCTTCTCTGCTACCCAGACCTCACTCTCCTAGCTGGCATTCAAAGCTCTTAAATTCCTCTAGAGCTCATGGCCACTGTAAATGTCCTTCTACCACAGCAGATTCCTCATCTCACTGAGAGCCCTTGACTGTACTGGAGTTTGACCCCAGGGCTTACAAGCTGGGTGGTACTAAATTTAACATCTCTTGAGTCTCTCCTTCTCCACTTGGAAATGGGGATAACCGTTTCCACTAAGATTTCTCTGAAGTTTCAATAAAATTATGTGAGTAAAGCACTCAGTCTGAAATAATGGTTACTTCTGAGGCAAGATGTACACTCTATATGCACCTTAGTTTTCTTTGACTTGGTTACAAGTTTAATTTTGAAAATAAAGAAAAAGTTGTTTAATGAATTCTGTAAATTGTCTGGTGTGTAGAAAGTGCTTAATAAGTGTTCATTATTATCACTATCATCGCCAATATCTCCATCTCCATATTCTGGAACTTCCCACAACCTTCAGTAGCAGGCCATGCAGTTAGCTCTGCTCACTATTCTGTGTATTGAATGGCTGAGTATTAGTCTCCTCCAATGTGGTGTCCCTAAATCCCCTGGTGCCAGGTCCAGGCACTAGCTCTGCTTTTACATGGCACACTCTCAGCTCTGCTGGCCCTGTCACTTTTGGTTGTTCCTTGTGCAATTTTTGTTTGGTGTTATTTCACCTGTAGGTATTTTTTCCCAATCAAAAATATTGCAGCTGTCCTGAGGATAGTCTTGGAGGCCAGGCCATTCATGCCCAGCTGGGAACTGCAGGTTCCACACCCACTGCAGAACTCTACAAGAAGCACTTCTTGTGGCAAGACTGGAACCCCCTATGAACAGGCAGCGTCACCTCTTAGAAGGCATATGATAGGCATATGGTATTGTTTTAATGCTAAAAAGTTAGTGTGTTTGCATGGGTCACTCGGTGATGGGAAACCCACGGGGATTACAATTGAGATGGAAAAAAATGTACAAAATGATGTAAAAATAAACTGTTATATTATATAAAAAAAGTTAGTGTGTTTGGGTCCATATGGAAAAAAATCACCTGGGTTTAGTCATAACAATCCCATATAAATACACTCCATTAAGTCCTTTCACACTCATGACACCCTCATCATGACCCCACTGGCAGAGTATTGTTGCACTTCTTATTTCACTGTGTGGGAATGAAACTCAGAGGTTAAGAACTGCCCCCAAATTAAGCAACTAGTAAGTGACAGAGCTGGGATGAGAGCCCAGACTTGGGGAGTCCTTAATGCCATATATCTTTTAGGGGATGCAAAACATAGTTTTTATTCTTTGTACCAAGATCTCATGAAATTGAAGGGTTGGAAACTCAAAATTGATGAATGATAGTTCATCCAACCTTCTTGAGACACATACAGTACAAAGCCAGATATACTTCCCTAGGAGAAATAGAAGGGACAAGAAGCAGGTCCAGGGTGGCAGTTCTGTTCTTTTCCAGTAATTTCCTTAGGGAAGATGGGGTGAAGAGGGGTCACCCACAGCCAACTAAAAGTTGGAGTTCCTATAGAGAACTAAATTGAGATGTTGAGAACATGAGAAGTTTCTGAATAAAATAAAAGCCCCATGGTCAAGTCACCTAAGAGAGTCATGTCTTCAACTATTTGAAGGTTAGAATGTGTCAGAAGCAGCTCAAGCTTTTCTCCATTAACACTCAGGTCCAATTATGGCTTAAAAGTTGATTGCAGGTGACAAGGAGGAAAGTGATCCTTAAAGAGAAAACAAAGTGCACTTTAAGCCAGTGATCTGCTGGAAATCCTTCCAAATTCTCCAGCGTGAGGGTCTCCCAGTTATGGTGGAGGGCTGCTCTGAATATTTTACTCAGAGGGTCATTGCAGGGAGTATTTCACTGGCAATGAAGTGGGAAAAAAACAGACAAAACTTCTAGCCTGAATACACTCAGGCTCCAGAGGGACTCTGGGCCACCTGCCACTCAACAATGTCAACTGTTTCCTGGCCATTGTGAAAACAATTGGTTAATGAGCACTCAGCATTATATATATATATGCATACATATGTGTATGTACACTCCTCACAACAATCCAAAGATTTTATTAATTTTATAGACCATCATTACCCATTTTACAGATAAAGAAAGGGAGATTGAGGGAGGAGGAGGGTATTGGTAAGAGCCAGAATTAGAAGCCAAGCAGTCAGCTCAGAAGCCTCCCACGTGCAATGAAAATCAATCGACACCAATGTTCTGAACTTTAGAGTTTATGAAGGATCTTCTCTTGACTCTTAAGACAACTGCAGAGAGAGAGCGTCTTAACAACTGGGGCCCAGAAAGGTGATGTGACTCACCCAAGGTCACACAGGTAGTGGGAAGCCTTTGCTATCAGCTAGGCACAGGGTAGGTTTCTTGACCCTCGGTTATCTGGCCCTCCACCCCCCAACTCGTCCCGGGGCCTGTCGGGCAGTGTCTATCAAGGGTTCCTACGCCAGGGGGGTGGACAGAGGGGCGGAGCAGATCGCAGCTTGCGGGTCTGGGCGCTGTCCGCGGTGCTGATCCGACCGCCGCGCCCTTAGCTCGCCTTGTAATCCGAGGGTTCCCCAGGTTTCCCTCCCAGCTCCCAGCCGGAGGCTGCCCCGCGAGTTTGGCTGCCCGACCGGGTCCTTTGGCCTGACTCTTAGGGCTCCCGGTGTTCCCCCTCCCCCGACCGCGCGTCGCAAACCTCCCTTCCCCCCCGCCCAGCCCACGGCCCCTCCCCGCCAGTTCCAGGTCCCTCCCTCCCCCCCTTATCTCTCCCCCTCACGCTCCCCCCTCCTAGGCTCCTTCGCCAGTTCCGGTCACGTTGCTGGGTGTTTACGCCTGGATCCCGCCCCGGACCCCCTTGTCGGCGCCTGGGAGCCCCCCCGGAGTCCCGGCCTGACCGCCAGCAGCCTCGCAGCAGCTGATGGCGCCGCAACCCGGGAAGGCGCTGCGGAACCCCGGGCGCAGCTAGCTCTGGGAAGAAGAGCTCCTCCCCGCACCCAGCCTGGCCCAGACATAGGGCCCCGCTGGCCCATCACTCCCTCGGGTCCCGAAGGTAAGGATGCCGGTGGGTGTAGAGTAAGGTGGGGTCTGGGGGAGGAAGGGGGCGTCGGGGTGGCCCAGGGTGGGGAGCAACGCGGCCGCAGCTCCTGCTCCCCTGGGGAGGGCGGGCGCGGGGCTCGGCACCGCAGCAAGCAGGCGGACAGGACCCATGGGCTGCTAGCAGAAGTTGTCTTCTGCTGCCCAGTGTCGGGTCCTTCCTAGCCCTGGCAGAGAGTCTGGAACGGCCGGAGGTCGAACAATCCCCACCTCCTGCTACCTCCTACCACACACATCTTTCTTTCTGCGGGCCTTTCCCTGTCCTCCTGGTACCTCTTTCTCCATCCTCCAGTATCCACATTCCTACCTCCCTTCTCTAGGAGACATAGTAGAGGCATAATCAGGGCAGAACATCAGGAATGAAGGGGGTGGGGACTCTAATTTCCCGGTACAGCCCACTATGTGTCCTGAGATCTTCAGCTTTGCTGAGACTGGGGGTCCAGGGATTTTCAATGGAAGGGAGGGGTCATAGCCTAGGGATATTAGGAGAGGAGGGTCCCTCAAATGGAGGAGACCACAAGACCCTTAGAAATGGTAGTTACACCACTGGTGAAGTGATCCCACCTTGCAAAGTCCTAGACATTTGTCAAGAACTGACTTCCTATTCCTAACTCAATTACTCAGGAAAACTAAGGACTTGGGGGTAGGCTGGGGGGTTGTAATTAATTTTTTAATGCATGAATTTACTTGCCTTGGTGATTTCCAATATCCCTTCAAGTATTTGCTCTATTTAACTGACATTCTTTGTGTGCCTGTTCCATGCAAGGGGTCCCCAGAGACAAATCCCTACCCTCAGGAAGCCTATATCTTAGAGCAGAAGCCAGCAGACACATATGTGCACATGCTCTGAAAATGTGATACATTGCAGAATGCCTCGGGGACAGAGGTGGAAGAGAGGCATTCCAACATGCTGATCGGGGGGCTTCATGGGAAAGGTTGCATTTGAGCAGGTTTCCTGAAGTCTGGAGGGATGGCTCACCTTCAGGAGGCAGATATAGAGTGGGAGATAGTGACGGGAAGCCCATGGATATGGGGGCAGCTTGTTTCAAGACCAGAAAGAGGTAAAATCCAAGAGGAAGAGATCAGACTGTAGATTCAATATGGACTGTGTTTAAATTGTAAAGTCCCTAAATGCCTAGGGGAGCATCCACTGGGTACTTCTACTTGCCAGACACTGTAGTTGTGTATGTTAGGCAAACAGTTGAACCTCTCTAAACTTGTTCCTCCCCTCTGGAGTGGATATACTAATAGATCCTTCAACAGAGGGTGGTTATGAAGATAAAGTAGTTAATATATTTTAAATGCTAAAAGCAATGCCAGCCACTGTAGTTATTGGTATTGGTATTACTTTTATAATAGTATCGGTATTATTATCTGTACATCTATGTCTGAGAAAAGCTTCTTGAATTCCTGTTCCCCTCCCCCAGGCCATGAAGTCAGGTAATGAAGAGGTACAATGACTAAAAAAAGTAAAGAATATATTATTTTACAAATTCATTCACTTATCAGCATGCCTGCCCTGTTGAGTGTGCCTGCCTTGGCTATAAGAATAATAAAAACAAGTTTAACCTTCTCCTGAAATAAGAAGCCATATTTAAAGAATTTTAATGAAGTGTGGGTATTGAGTGTTCAGAATAGTGTAAGGATATTTGTTGTCTCAATAAATATTTCCAGTGTCAAAAAAAATTAAGAGATAAATTTAAAATAAGACAAAATAAGTGGTGGGGGATGAGGGTGGCAGACAATATAAATGCCATAGAAGCAGAAAGCAAAAGACTTTAGTGCTGGCTCCTCTCCCATGCGCTACCCCTACCTAAGAAAGAGAGAGGGACAGCACAGGAGAGCAGTTAGTGAGCCAATGAAGGCAGTTAGACATCCCAAGGTTAGACATCCCACTGAACTATGTTTTGTTAAAGATTTATGTATTTATGCATACAAGAGCTGGGGTATAGGCCAGAAGTGAGGGGGTGAGAGGATTACCAGAGTGGGGAGCAGAACAGGCAGACTGACAGAAATACACTGCTGAGGGGAGCAGGGACGAGAGAGGAGAGCTCTGCTGCACCATGTGGGTCACCTCCCTAAACCTGTGCTTCAGTGGCTGCTAGTAGCTTGATAGTGCTGAGATTTAACTCCTTGTGCCACCAGGCAGGATCCCCACTGAACTATACAAATGGTTTTCAAACTTTTAGGTAGCAGAAGCTTGTTCTCCAATAAATTTTGTATGCCATGAGAACCCTCTGCAGAATATTTTGGACTCTATGGAGCAACATTTGGAAAACAGAGATTGAGATGATTCTGAAGGCCTCAGTGGGTCCTGAGTGTTACAGTTCTGCACTTTTTGTAGCTCTTCCAACTCTAAGGGCTATAAGAACTCTTATAGAAGAGGGGAGAGAACAACAGTTTCCTACTTGCCAAGTCAATTGTAAGGCAAATAGCTGAGAAGAAAGTAGGTACCCAGAAACTCCAAAGAGGCAAGCAGGAGGCAAAGTCATTTTCAAGGATGGGAAACCCAAGTCTTAGAGAACCAGAAGTGTGCCAGGGTCTATGGTTGTCAATCTGAGCGCAGAAGATTTCACCCACCAACTTCCTCAAAGGGGGGGATATTTATAACTTTTAGACAGATCAGAGACATGTCAAAAGTACTTGGAATTGACTCTCTAAGTTGTGAACCCTGTGATTTTATAAATGATCCTTTTTCATCAAACTAGAAAATCAAACAATGAACCAAGAGCAAGAGAAGGCAGGCAACAAAAACAGTGCAGGCCCTGAGGTGGTCAGGACAGTAGCCAGAGGCCAGGGACCCAAGCCATTGCACTTTGAGGTTGGGCATCAAAGCAGGAGTGAATGGAGAAATTGGAACTGAGAGCTCTAAGCCTTCAGTTGCTGCCTTTGGCCTGGACCAAGGCTTCAGGCACCAGCTGCTGAAACCAGCAGCTCCAGGCCTACATCTCTATGCAAAAGCCTGACATTTTCCTGCCTTGGGCCTTCTCAAGTAGGTGTGCCTCCCCGTCACACAAAGAAATCTGTGTTATCCCTGGTTCCCCCTTCCCCACTCCATTTCTCATCCTCCCCCAAACAAACTAAACAATAACGTCTAAGAAAGAATATTTGCCAAGATCGCTTGTGACCCAAATTTCTACTCTAAGAAGAGCAGCCTGCCTAGTTGGAAGCAAACACTCAAGGCCTTTTGGGAAGAGACAGAAACAGCTGGTTGGCTCAGTCTCTCACTGTGGCCAGGGTCCAGTCTCCAGGGCTGTGTGTGGAAAGGGCTTTCACTTGTCAAAAGCATTTGCATTTCAGTGAGTAGGAATAGACATTTTCTCTCTTCCTCCCAAGCAGAGATCCACACACCTTCATCCCCCAGATGCACACACAGCAGACACATTGCCTACAGAGTAACGAGAACCACACACACACACACACACACACACACACACACACACGTATGCATGCACACAGTCTCAGGTCCATGCACAGACACCCAGGCACTTACATCCTAACACAGATCCGCAGGCACACAGACACAGCTCACCCACTTCTGAGTTAGGCTCCCATCTCTTTGACTAGCCACTTGGCCTCTCTCTGTCTCCTTGTTTTAACCCTCTTGAGCATGTTAAATCTCACATGTCTATAGGCCTTACTCTGTACATCTCTTCCAGTTCTTCCTCTGCCCAGCTCCAAAATTCACTCATTTGTGCATTCTACAAATATTTACTCATTTACTGAGATACTCTACGTATATCTCCTTTTAGCTAGATACTGTGCAAGGAACAAGGGAACAAGAAGAAATGAATGGAGTCTTTCACCTTGTGTTGCCAACAGTGTGGCAGGGAAAATAGACAATGAACAAAAAGGTAATAAAGTCACGTGATGAAAAAATCTTGGAAGAAAAAATGCAGATTGGGGAGTGCAGAATGACAGTGGGTTTTTTATTTTATTTGGGCTTTTTTATTTTAAATCAGGTAACCAAAGAAATGCCCTGAGGAGGTAACATTTGAACAGAGACCTGAAAGCAAAAAGGTAATGACTGTGAGGGTATCTCAAGCATTCCTGCAGAAGGAACAGCACATCCAAAGCCCCTGAGGCAGGAATGTCCTTAGCAGGGTACAGCAGGCCTGGGAACAGACTGACTGAGGCAGAGCCAGAAATACAACTTAGGAGGTGAGGGCAGACAGAGCTGGGCCAGTTGTGTAGAATCCGGTAAGAACACTGGACTTGGTTTTTGTGTGAGGGGAAGTGATTTGAGGGTTTGGGGTGAGGGGCAAGGAGACATGATCAGATTCGCTAAAGAAACTCTAGCTGTTGCAAAGAAAACAAGCAGCAGGCGTGGAAGCCAGAAGCCAGTCAGGAGGCTGCTGCAACGATAGCAGAGGGAAGGTGGTACTTGGATGAGTGTGTCAGAAGTGGAGAGAATAAGATTGGATTTAGGATATATTTCTGAAGGTAAGACCAACTGGATTTGCAGATGGCTTGGCTGTGGAATATGAAGAGGGAGAGGAATCAACGACGCCTTCTAAATTTTGGGCCTTAGTAACTGAGTGAATAGGCAGATGTCACTGCCGCTTACTGAGATGGCACACAGTGGGCAGGAGAGGTTTGTAGGCCGGGTCCACAGAGTTCAGTACTGAACTTACACGTTTTTTTAAAGATTTATTCATTTATGCACACAGAACTGGGGTACAGGCCAAAGGTGCAGGGGCGGTGAGAGGATTCACTAGAGACAGAGTGGGGAGCAGAACAGGCAGATCCACTAAAATATACTGCTGAGGGGAGCAGCAGAAAAGGCAGGAGAGGTCTGCTGCACCACGTGGGTCATCTCCCTGGCCAGGAATTGAACTCATGCTGAAGCGGTTGGAGGCTAGCTTCATAGTGCTGCACTTTAACCCATTGTGCCACCAGAGCGGATCCTGAAACTTGTAAGTTTGAGGGATAGATTAAGGAGGTGTTAGGTTGTCAGTCTTAGGGGCCAGAGATAGTGTCTACAAACTTTGCCCACCTGTGTCTAGGCAGACGCCTTCTCCTTTCCTTTTCTCTAAGTAAGTCTTCCATAATGAATTAAAAAATTAAACAGTATCTACAGCCATAAAACTGAACAATTTCACCTAGAAAGTGATTAGATAGACACAAAGATTAAAATGAAGGAGATCTGGGCCCTCCCTGGTGGTGCAGTAGGTTAAAGCACAGCACTACAAGCTAGCTGCAGCTGCTTCAGTGTGAGTTTGATCCCTGGTCCATGAGTTCACCCACATGGCGTGGCAGACCTCTCCTGGCCTGCCTGCTGCTCCCTCAGCAGTGTATTTCATCAATCTGCCTGTTCTGCTCTCCACTCTGTCTCTGGTGAATCCTCTCACATACACCCCATAGACTTTACCCCAGTTCTGTATGCATAAATAAATAAACCTTTAAAAAGAAAAAAGCAGAAAGTCCATCATAGTATTTAGCATGAGCCTTGTAAGGAGGCACTCACATAACTATCCTTTTTATCCTACCCTGGGCCTACAGATATTATTCCTTGTTTGGAATAAACTGTCCTAGCTTCTACCCCTCAATCAAGTCTGCACATTTTCCATTGCTGCAAATTCAGGGAATTAAAATATATATCACCGAGTCACAGTTTCCATGGATAGGGAGTCTGGCTGGAACCTCTGCTTAGGGGCTCATAAGACTGAAATCAACTCTGGCTGCTTCTTCACCTGAAGGTTCAACTAGGGAAAGATCTGCCACCTGGAGTCCTTAGAAGAATTTACTTCTTTGCAGTTATGGAACTAAAGTCCTCATTGTCTAACTGTCAGCCAGGGAGCATGCTTAGCTACTAGAGGTGTCTCTCAGGTCCTTGCTGTGGCTTTCTTCCTGCTCTCTCACAACATGACTGTCCCTTGAAGGCCAGCAGCCAGTTTTATGTCATGCTTCATCTCTCTTCCTTCAGTAAGGCTCCTTTGAACTGGCCCACCCACATCTCCCTTGTGATGAATTGAAAGTCAACTGATTTGAGAGCTTAATTGCATCGCAAAATCCCTTTACCTCTGTCATATAATCTTCTTTTGTAAGATTTATTTTATGTATTCATGCATACAACAACTGGGGTGTAGGCCAGAGGTGTGGGGATGAGAGGACTCACTAGAGACTAGTGGGGAGCAAAACAGGCAGATATACTGAAATACACTGCTGAGGGGAGCAGTGGGCTGGACAGGAGAGGTCTGCTGTGCCATGTGGGTCAGCTCCCAGGCCCAGACTGAACATGCCACAGTGACTGGCAATAGCTTTACAGTACTGAGACTTAACCCCTGCACCACCAGGGAGGCCCCCTGTCATATAATCTAATCATAGGTATGAACTCCATCATATCCACACTCCCACCTACACTCAGGGGAAGGAGGGTGTGTGTACCAAGGATTGGGAATCTTGAGGACCAACTTAGAATCAACCTGCCAGCAGGCAGTAAAATCACTTACTTAAGGAGAATTACCCTGACCCCGAATATAATAGTGCCTACTTTCATATTATCCTGTAAGTTTCTTTTGTGGCATTTCTCACAGATAATAAATACTTATGTGATTTTTTTTTAGATTTCTTTTATTTACTTATGCATACAAGAACTGGGGTGTAGGCCGGAGGTTGGAGGGGGAGATAAGAGGAGTCACCAGAGACAGAGTGGGGGCATAACAGGCAGATCTACTAAAATATACTGCTGAGGGGATCAGCGGGCCAGACAGGAGAGGTCTGCTGTGCCATGTGGGTCAGCTCCCAGCCCAGGGATTGAGCTCATGCTGCAATGGCTGCAGATAGCTTCATAGTACTGAGACTTAACTCCTTGTGCCACCAGGGAGGCCCCATGTTATTTTTTGTTTGCTGCAGTATTTACTTGTTCTGTTTTTCCTCCTACCCCCTGAGCTCCATGAAAACAGGCATTTATTCAGCACAGTACTCCCTCACCCAGTACAATGGTCATAAGTTGAATGAATGATGAAAAAAATCAGCAAGCCAAGGCAGGAGTTAACTTACTTACATATCAAACATTTGAAGAGAAGGGAAGTAGCATTGACTAAGCCAGACCTGAGAGAAGTACTCTATAATCCTCACACTTAATCCTCAAAACTGTCCTAGAGTTGTTACTACTCTTAGTCCCATTTTACAGTTTGTTTGTGAAATCAGGTTGGTAATACCTGCTATAGAGTTGCTTATATGTATCAAGTTCCTTGAACATGGCTGATAGTCAGTAAAGTTGCCAGTGATTCCTGTGTGCCAGAGAGCTGCCCTCTGCTGAAATGAAAGGATTAGGGGAGTAAAAGGGATAAGAAGGAGCACACTCAGAAAGAGGGGCCTATGAATGTGAGACTCTCAAGTGGATCCACTCGATGTGACCCACACATGTAAATCTGGATTTGCAGAGGTTTACATGAACCGGTCTGGAAGAAGCCACTAACTAAACAGACAGTCCATCAGCTGACTTCTCTCTCTACTGCCCAGCAAAATCCCAGGGCAGATGGAGACAGATCCTTCAGAAGTTTCAAAAGCTCAAGAAGCCCTCAGCCTACATGGGAAGACACACAGATCAACAGGAGTCCCTGTCAGAGAAAAATGGAGCTTTTAGTCCTGGGCTCCAGGAGCCTGGCCATCCGCTGCCACCTGCCTCCTGTTTTTGTCTTTGCCCATATTTTTTTTTAAAGATTTATTTATTTTTGCATATAGAACTGGGGTGCAGGCCAGAGGTGCAGGGGTGATGAGAGGATTCACCAGAGACAGAGTGGGGAGCAGAACAGGCAGACTGATGAAGTACACTGCTGAGGGGAGCAGCGGGCGGGTCAGGAGAGGTCTGCCACGCCATGTGGGTCAGCTCCCTGGCTGGGGATCAACTTGTGCTGAAGCAGCTGTGGCAAGGCTAGCTTCGTAGTGCTGTACTTTAACCCACTGCACCACCAGGGAGGCCCCACAAATAAATAAATCCTTAAAAAAGAAACAAGGAAGGGACTCAGCCTCCTGCCTTCAGTCCAACGAGTCAGTATTAGTAAAATAATCATCAGATCCTCATCCTCTGTGACCTGCAACTGCCCAGAACCCTGGGTGGAGGCTAAATCATCGGAAGGGAGTTTAACTGTGAAAGGTTGTGCTCAAAGCCATTATTCTGGCCTGACCGATGGTCAGGGTAATGGTCACCCTTGAGCTACGGCGCCTGCAGGATGGCAGAAGCATCACCCTCATTTTACCATGAGAAAACTGGGATTCCAGAGAGGTAGAGGGCTTGCCCAAAGACACACAGCTGGCTAAGGAGCATGCCAGAACACAAGTCTGTCTTGACTGACGTGGCTGCTCTAATTCTTCTGCCCTCTGAGTAGCAGAAGAGACTAAAGTGATGGGGCAGAAAAGTAAAGGCATTCCCCTCTGGGCTTCTACTTCTTCACCTCTTTAGTGGTGAACACTCCTCTGCCAACACATCTGCTTATGCATGAAACTTCAGTGAGTAAATGGAGTGAAAATGACCATAGTGGCAGAACTGTCTACTTGGGGGCAATGGAACCCCAGATTGGAGGAGACTATGAGAGATCTGAAGATGGGCAGGGCAGACGGGCCCAGAAAATGTGGGTTCACCTTGTCATCCTCCCCAGGTGGGTCCCAGGACTGGGTTGCCATGGATACTGTGTCCCTGGAGCATCAGATCCAAAGCGTGCAACGCCATATCAGCTTCCTGAAAAAGGAGCAGATGGCCCTGCTGCGAGACCTGCACCTGGAAATCCTGAGGCTGCAGAAACGCTGCTCAGGTGAGACCAAGAGGGATGGCTGCAGGGCAGGGCGTGGGAGCTGGGGCTGACTGGCATCATAAGCATTGGTTCTGATGGGACACCCACTGTGAGCCTCTCTGAGCCTCACAACAATCCTGCCAGGTGGGTGTTCATCATCTCTTTCTCTAGTTGAGGAAACTTCGTCTCAGAGAGGTGAGATAATAGTTTCAGGGCAATAGCCGCTGGTTAGGCCCAGAGAGAAATCAGAGAACCATTCCAGAGGACTCCTGTACTTTTCTACTAAGTCTTCATTAAGCACTTCTCAGTCCTCAAGAAACCCTCAGCCTAGTTGGGGAGACACAGACCAACAGTACTAATAAGATCCATATAGGGGTCCTCCCTGGTGACACAATGGGTTACAGTGCAGCACTAAGAAGCTCTCGCAGCCACTACAGCACCCAGCCAGAGGGTGACCCACATGGTGTGGCAGACCTCTCCTGACCTGCCCGCTGCTCCCCTCAGCAGTGTATTTCAGTCAATCCACCTGTTCTCCTCCCCACTGTATATCTGGTGAATCCTCTCACCCCCTGCACCTCTGGCCTGTACCCCCATTCTGTATGCATAAATAAATAAATCTTTTTTTAAAAATCCATACAGAAGAAAGAGGACCACGAGTTCACAGACAGGATGGTGTCTAGGGTGAGAAGCAGGTGATGGAAGAGGAGACTAGGCACGCAGGCTCTGCAAAGGAGGGAGCATTTCTACTCCTTTAAGCCTGAGAAAGATTTAGACATGCTGAGATATTATGGGGGGGAGGGGGGAGTTTGAAGAAAGCATTCCAAATGAAGGAGCAGCATGATGAAGCCCAGAAGGTAGGAAACCAAGAGCTCATGAAAAATCCTATTTGACTGGGTAAAGCTGCACTTAAAGGAGATTAATGAGAAATACAGCTGGAGCCAGATGGTGGAAGACCTTGGCAAATATCAGGACAGCTAAGTTTGGCCTGTCCACCTGAGTAGTCAAGAGCCACTGAAGGTTTCTGAATAGTATCACACTGCACTGAAAAATGCAATCTGACAGCTGTATGGAAGATGAATTGGTGGGAGATGGGGCCACGTTGAGCTGACGAAATGGTCCAGGGGAGAGATGGAAGGAGAGAAGCAGTGAAAGGTAGATTGAAGGACAGGGTTTGGCAGCCCATTGATTTTTGAGCAGGACAGGGGCAGACTAAGGACTAAGGAAGAAGCAAAACCCCAGGCCTGACCTCCACTCTTGGACATCAGTCTTCAGCTATCTGGCCCTCTCACAGCCCTGGCTCTGCCCCAAATGCTCACCCAGGCCAAGTCTCCAAGTACAGGCTTTAGACCCAGTGAGTCAGAATGTTTCAGCTGAAATGACCCAAACTCTTCATTGAAACAGGTGAACTGAGGCAGAAAGAGACAGAGACCCACAACATGCTGGTGGCAGGCTAGGGCTAGAACACAGACAGACTGCACACTCTCTCCCCAGGCTGCTCAGGCTTCTTCCTCCCTTACAGCTCTTGTTCATGAGAGGGCTGGAGGATTCAGTGACCAGTCTCGCTTCTCATGGTGGTATGAAAAGCTAGCAGCCCTGACCATCAGCCCCCACAGCCTCCTCTATCTCCATATCCAGATTTGACTGCCACATTTCAAGGCCAGACTCCCTGCAATCTCCCCGCAAGTCTAGATGGCAAAGAGACCAGCCAGGGAGCAGGACTGGCCCATGCGCACCCATCCTTAGCTTATGCCTTCTTTTTTTTATACCATTTTAAATTCAATTATACCACTAAAGGAAAGTTAAGATGAGCGAACCCTAACACTATATAGCTCTTGTTCTGATTTCTTTTGCTTTGCTCTAACTCTGAAAACCCGGATTCTTCCACTTAGGACTCAAGCCAGGATCCCAAGAAAATGTAATAGTCGGGAACAGAGGGCCTTTGGCCCTCACCACCCTGTTTAGACCGGCCTGCAGCCTCTTGGTTATTGATTAAGGAGATAAAAATAACTGTGGGCTAGCCTGGAGCACCACTCTTGGGGCTGAAATCACTGAATAAGGCCCTCCCTCCAAGAGGTGAGGAGTGAGGAACAGAAAAGGAGAAGGTTTTTAAAAGAGATTTAAAGAAATCACAGAGACCAGAGAGAAGGTGGGAATAGTAATCAAGGGGGCAGAGACGTGGAGAGGGCCTGCCACGAAAAGATGCGACTCAGAACAAAGGGGTTTTCTGGAGAGCAGCCCCCAAGCATTCAGCACTGACTCACCCCTAGATTGAACCTTCTATTTATTTTGTCATTTAATCCTGGCAACCGCCCCTTGTGAGGAGGATGCTATTTCATCCCCATTCTACAGATGCAAAAACTGTGTGCTGTCACTGGCCGGGGATCACACAGTATATCTGACCTCCCAGCATGCTCATCTGAACTGTTGAGAACTGGCCAGAGATAAGCAGGGAGAGATGATGGGAGGGGAGTGGCCCACAGCAGAGATTCTGTCCTCCCTCTCCTAACTGGGTGGTTAAGGGCTGAGGAGCAACCAGCCCAAAGAGACTTAGTGTCAGGGCCAAAACCCCTTGAGATATGTCCCTGAACCTAGTCCAAAGTCTCTTGGGCTATATCACAGGGCCTTGGAGAAGAGGCTAAGTTGGCCCAGTAAGCCCCAGGGAGGGTGGTGGAGGCATCAGAATCCTCCCAGGGGCCCCAGGACCTGAGGAGGTTCAGGCTCCGGTCACAGCAAAGGCCCAGGCACCCTGACTCTCTGTCTCCTAGCAACAGTTAGCCTTCCTGGGAAGGTACCTCCAGCAATGCCTGTGGCTTTTAGAAGAGCCATTGAAGGCAATGAGGAGGGACAGAGGGCCACAAGCTTTGTCTCTGTAGGTGCTGCTGGGTCAAGTCCCAAAGATATATCTCTCCCCTCCCCCAGATTCACACTTTCTCCCTTTGGGCACTAGACTGTATCCCCACAGGTACACGCAGGTGTTCCTGAGGAGATAGATGCCCTTCATCACAGGCAGTTGGAGCTCCTAGGAACCCTCCTGACTCTTTCTTAGCTCTTGAGGGGGTGGAAGGGAGCTGAAAAATTGAGCCAAGGGGTAGGGCAGTCTCGAGTCTAAACAATGAGGACTGGAAGACAGGCAGGCCAGAAAGCAGAGCGGAGACTGGGCTGCTAACCCCCTCAGCAAAGGGCTCCCAGGTGGCCTTGCCCCACCCCCTCAGGTCAAGACAAGCACCAAGCAGGCTGTGTGTCACCAGGTGGCGCTGTCCTCCTTAAAGCCCCTCACCTGCCCTGTGGCAGAACCAGGGCTGGGAAAAGAGGGAGCAGGGCTGAGGTTCAGTAAACAACAGGCACAGCAGTACTGGTTGTGAGACATGTGTCCTGTTAGTAAAGAGCACTACCTTGAGTGCCCGTCCAGTGTCCCCCAAGCTGCTCAGCACCCTCCAGCCTTCCCAGACTCATTAACTCAATACCAAATGGTCTGTGCTTAGTGCAACGTAGGTTTCCAGGATGACTTTGATTGACAGGCATGTATTTATTTATATATCAATTCTGTGAAGGGTCAAGTACTTCTTCTCAGTCCCCTAACAGTGAGCTGACCCCAAACCCAGGTCACAAAGCTTACACAGAAAGGTCTCTGGGCTTAGAATCAGATAGGTAAGTCTTGGGCAACTCAGTTCATCTTATATCCCCTTATTATTGGGTTGCCGTAAAATAGCGGGGAATTTAGAGTCATTAGGATCCTTATTGCCAGTTTTACTGAGTTGTGGTTCCCAATATCTCATTCATTCTTTTCATGCGCTTGCTCGCTCGCTCTCTCTCTCTCTCTTTCTCTCTCTCTCTCACACACACACACAAATACACGCACAAATTGCCTGTTCTTTTCTCTTCCCCCAGAACTGACCCATGACCTGGAGATGAGAGAAGCCCAATCTCACCAGCAAGGTAAGAAAAGGACGATTAGTGGGGAGTTGCTACAGGGGCCCACTTTACAGGACCTATGTCTTTTCTTCACCACTTAGTGGGGCTCCTCTTAGTAAGACCCACATATTCTCTTAACTCCAGTCTAGACTTGGGGACAGCCACTCCTCAGCTTGGTAAGCAGAGTGCAGGTCATCAGCCTCCCTTGCCTAGTCAGCTAGGTAACTCTGTGTAGTGAACAACCTGCACCACCATCCATGGTCCTGTATCCATGTCTTTATCCAAAATGGGACGGTAAAAGCAGGAACCAGATTATATGGTCAACTTCATTTCTGAGACCTACCTCTCCAGGCTTTTCCATTCTTGCACAATTGATTTTGATTTCCACGGTCAGTGCACACATCCCCCAAGACACTAAGTGTAAAGATGCACCACAATGGGTCCCTGACTTCAAGGAAGTTAATTTAGATGAGAAAAGAGGCACACATTAGCAGATCCTTCATTTTACAAAAGCATAACTTCTTGCCATTGTAGCAATTCCACTAAAAATAGTTGTTTACAAATTATTAATTCACCCACAAAATTGGGCCCGCCCTGGTGGCGCATTGGGTTAAAGCACAGCATTACGAAGTTAGCCACAGCTCCTTCAGCATGAGTTTGATCCCCAGCCAGGGAGCTGACCCACATGGTGTGGCAGACCTCTCCTGTCTCACCCACTGCTCCCCTTAGCAATGTACTTGGTCAATCTGCCTGTACACTGTCTCCTGTGAATCCTCTCACTGCCCCTGTGCCTCTGGCCTGTAACCCAGTTCTGTATGCATAAATAATGTTTTTTTTAATTACCCACAAAATGTGGGTGGGGTGGGGAGATGGTTTTCAGTGGTTATAGAGTTTCAGTTTTGCAAGATGCAAGAGCTAGAGATCTGTTGCACAACACGAGCATACCTAACACTACTGAACTATACACTTAAAAGTGGCAAATTTGTGTTGTCCTTGTTTTAACCACAATTAACCGCCCCCCCCTTCTTTTTAAGGAAGGTTGTATTGTTGAGATATCAGTCACCCAATTACATGATCTCTGAGAACGAGGACTAGGTGTTACTCATTGTCTCCAAATGTAAGGCCCATTACCTGACATGAAAAGTGATTCAGTAAATAATTAATTAAAAATGAATCACAAAAATACTTTTTCTTGTCCAGGAGGGTTTTGAGAATGGACGCTCTGATGTATTGATGTGCTACTTACAGATAAGAGCTAGGCATGAGGAAGGTCTGTTGTTTAAGGTAAAATGTTGGAAGCCCTACAGATTGCTTTGCATTTTCATGCATAAAATCTAAACACTGGTGAACTTGAACCTATTCTGCCTCCTTCTTCAAGTGGCAGCCACTGTTGACCAGGTGCTCAGAGGAGCAGGGCAAAGGTCGCAGGCCCAGGGAAAGACAGTAACAATAACAGCTTTCACTTTACCTGTGTGATCCTGCCTTGGAAAAGGTTTTGGGGATTCTCTGAGTGCAAGGCACTGCTCCAGTGTCCACATTTTTACCTTTTCTTTCAGTAGTAGGCTTGAGAAGTTTATCACTGTCTTCCTCTCACATGATCATTGTCATATTCCTTCCAGTGCCATCTTTTGCCACCCTGTTGTCATCTTTCAGTGACATAGGTCCTACACTCACATATGCCAAGTCCAGGATATAGTCTCTGCTGAAATGGAGCTTAAGATCCAGAAGGCAGGGGTTCTCAACTCTAGGACGTTAGAATTGTCTAGAAGACTTAAGAATTACCAGTACCAGTTCCCAGGTCCAATGCCAGAGATTCTGATTCAATTCTTTTTTGGTAAGGCCTGGGAAACTATTTCCCAAAGCTTTCTGGGTGGTTCCAACGTGTATCCAGGGTTGAATCTCACTGCAAAGGCAAAGAGTAAACAAGTAGATTAAAAATGACAAAATGTAATAAATGCACTTTTTGAAGGAGACATCCAGCTTTGGCACAGAGGGACTGTGCGTTCCCTCCCACACACACTCCCGGTTTTCTCGGGTCCTGCTCTTGTGTGTCTCTGCACAAGATGTTCCCTCTCTCAAAAGAAGCTCCCTTCTCTCCCCCTGGTCCCTTCACTTCTCTTTGGAGCTCCTAGCTCCAGTCCTGAGATCTTCCCTCACAGGTCAGTCTGCAGCCCTGGCATCAGCACATGTCAACTTGTGGTTGCTAAGCTTCCTGAGGAATGTTTTCTTAACCACCAAATCCCCAGTGCCTAACACAATGTACAGAGTTAAGGGTTCAGCAAATATTTGTGGAGTGAACAAATAAATGGCCACGGCGGGTTTTGCATGTAAGTAGAAACCTAAAGAACTAGAAGCGAGGCCAAGGAGAGGTTAGGGTAGGCGAGGGGCCTTGAGGAAGAAGAGGGCCTCTGAGGCCTGGCTAGGCCAGTGCAGGAGAGCGCCGGACGCCTACACGATGGAGAGGTGCCGGCCTTGTTGCGCGGGGGTGTGTGCTGTGCAGGGGCGCCGACAGCTCTCCCCTCTCTTCCCCCTTTCCAGAGGCGGCGTCCCTCGAGCTGGAGAGCAAGTGTCGCGCGCTGGAGTCGCAGCTGGCGGCGC